TGTTTTTCTCATGTGATATAGACTTGAATGAAGCATTTGAACTCATTTGCAAAAGGCTGATCCAAAGGGCACATCTTCTCCTGTGGAGCTGAAGGCCGATAAATGTAATGAGAGTAGCCACGAGAATATAGAGTATTAAAGATGGAGGAACTGTATATCATCCCAAAGCTTGCAAAAATATACTATATTCTCCTTTATTTAGCAGTATCTACTACACTGTAATGAGTTACAACTATAGACTGTAAGTTCTGACATAGAGACAAAGATGAACGCTGAATCTATAGCATTGTTCTTCCAAAGTGCAGAAGTGAAATTTATCCTCCTCTCTGAGGATTTGGGCATATTTTAAAATAGTTTCTTTTGTAGTGTGCCCGATTTCTCTTCTCCTTTTTCTACCTTATCTTTTGCAGTGCTTCTTCCCTTGAGATGTAACAGTTTAGATGCACGTAGAAAAATGTCACCTATACCTTTGATTGAATTATATTTCTATATTGTTTATGAACTTGCTGTGCATTTGCAATCATTATTAATAAATCAATGTGCTTTTGTCTTCTGTCACAAAGTAATGTATGTATTCAGAAAGAATTGTATGCAAAACAAGTCATGTTTTAGAACTCATATCATTAATAATTTTCAGTTTGCAGTATTGTTACAACATGTTTTGAGGGAAGCTTATTATAAAAGAAATAACAAGGCACTGCACAGTAGCAAGAATGAGACAGTTCAGTTGATCACTGGAATGGGTGTTATAAATATGCCAGTCTGTACTATAGTGTTTTATTAAGTCTCAAAAAGTCAAAGCTGATTTGAAATAATAATGTCTGACAGTCAGCTCTTTGAAGTTTTGCTGCTGCACTCTCACATTTAGGCTTTCTTTTATGTATGACTTTACCATAAAAAACAAAAACACACACATGGCATGAACGCTTTTTTTTCCATATCTGTGTTTCAAAGAAAGTAATAAGAGGCTACTTCAGTGAATTAAACTAAAAAAAAACCCAGCCCCCCTGCAGTCGCTGAGGATAGGTGCAGGCCACTGTAAGGTCGTGCAGTATTCAAGTAGGCTATAGCTGGGGTTGCTAACTTGTTGAACTCTTGTAAGAGTGAAATTTAAAAAAAAAAGGAGGGGGGGGAAGGAAAAGAGACAAGAGGCAAAAGCTATCCTTGATAGGAACAAGATGACTTTCATTTAGGCGGAAGAAGTAAAGAGCTTGGCTGCGCTGGTGAGCACACTCGTTCTTCATCCCGGCCTCGCAACAAAGAGCTGGATTCCATCCATTCCATGACTGATTGATTACCCAATGGACAAATGTTAATTCTTTTCATTGATGCTTTGTCATTGTGAAGAGATCCTTTTCATCTAACACCTACAGGTTTTTTCTCTCCTCCCCCCCCTTTTTTTTTTTTGCTGCTTATTTATCTTTTAACGCTCTCTTCTCATTCACCTTTACAAAACTATTTTGTCTAACAAGATTCTCACAGTACTTTAAACTCCTTTACTCTGCAATTCAAATTGCTAACAGAGTATGTAATAAGCCATGATATTAAATAATGCTCAATGATTTCATTTAGTCATCCCAGTCTAATTATGCTTAACCTGTTTGCTGTCCTTGAAATTTTTTTCCTAGTTTACAAGAGAAAAATATAAAAGATCAGAATCTGTGTGTTGTTAATATAATAAATTGCTCCAGTGCAACTATATGAGGTTGATCTTAGATGTGTCAGTGCAAAACATGCTTCTTAGTCTGTGGCATAAACCCAACTGTCGTTTATAATAAAGTCAGTGATAAGAACTGAAAATGTATAAATGCTAATTTTTTTCTTTGCTTCTTTTATAATTGTCTTTAACTGGAATATCCCTGAATTTTGCAAATGCCCTGATCTGCAAGGTTTTGGAATGATTGTGAAGTGGAGCCTCGGTACAGGGAGCCTGATGCAGTGCAGATGTGAATTCAGGCGTCTTCAACGTTCAGTGCTGGCTTTTGAGTCGATGCTTTGTTTCCATAATGAATCAAATCAGAAAATGAATCAGTATGCATGAAGACATTTTACTGATGTTAGAAGACTTCTGTGTAGATTTTATATGTATGTAAAAAACTAATTTTCAGTAAGGAAAGAATAAAAAACCCCTTTCTTTTTCCCAAATCCTTTCAAAATATGTGTATTCGTGAACATAGAAAACAGAACTTGAAGGGAGACATGCCTTTCAAGTATAAACCTTTATATTTAGGTTCATGTCTAATGTGAAGGACCTCCAGAGAGCTTTAACACATAGCATGACTTTAAATTCTAAAAATTATGCATATTAACCTTGCTAATTGACAGGTTACAGGAATTCCAAAAAAGCTACATTTACAGCACTGTACGAAAAGTTTATTTAAAAGGCTCATTTGTGTATTTTTATAATTTTTCCAGTAGCAAAATATGGTAGCTGTAGGTTGTGTAGTCAGATATCGTATTTAGAGAATTTAAATGGCATAGTAGCGTTTAAAGAAATTCTTTTTGAGGAGTTTTTCAGTCATTTAAAGAGGGAAAATCGTAACTGGCAGTTTGATTATATGAAAAAGAAGGCACACAGAGTGACCTGTTTTACATTCTCAGTCCGTCTTTAGAAATATACTTCTTTCCCCTTATTTAACATAAGAACACTACAGATAAACATGCGTATTTTTAAGAAAAGTAAGAAAAGAATTAAAATAAGTCCTTCAAGGAAAAATTTTTATTAACTCTTGTGATTTAATTGTTTCTTTCTTTAATTTGAACATTTTTCCTTTTTTCTATGAATTGCGGAAAATATCCTAGCTAAAAAGCAGTAAAATACATAACCTATAGCAAACATCAAAATAAAACTCTAAAGCTCTTTTTTTGCAGGGATGAGGGGTCTGAAATTTTGGCAGGGGAGAAACACAGAAACATCTTTTTAAACTAATGATGATATCACAAAAAAAGGACAAATTATAATGTTCTATTGATAATTGATGGTTATTTCTTGGTTCTTCTATTATCAGGCCAGAACTCATAAAAGTAATAAGTGCCTGTTATTGTTAAAAGTAAATTGTTATTATATAACAAGTATTTTAACACTCTCTATTGCAACTTAGAGCTCCTTAATTTTGTTTCTTTTATAGAAAGACATAATTAGTAAATAAATTAGCTTTTCTACTGAAATATTACTTCAAAAATATTTGCTAGCTGTGTTGTCTTTCCACGAAGGCTTGCACGGTAAAAATGTGTTGCGATGAAAACCTGATCTTTGATCTTTTGATAGTTACAGTTTGGTATGCTTTCCACTGGTTTTGTTTTTTGTTTTTTTCCAATGAGGGATACTATTGCAAATTTGTCATGTGAAAACTATTTGCATCCTAAAATGTGACTGTCCATCTGACCTTTTTTCTTCCTTGAATTTCTCCCTAAATATTCTCTAACTAACTCCTCCTTTTATGACCTCTTTGAATGCTTCTCCTCTTTCTGGCTATTTTTAGAGTCCTCTGAGGTGGAACAAGCTGTTACCTGTTGTATCGATGCTGTCTACGGTGCAAGTCTTAGCTTGGGTTTTTTGTGTTTGTTTTTACTTGCTTCTAATGGGACTGCTGACATGAGAACGTGAGCTAGAATTTGGCCTTTACTCTGCCAATAGCCAACAGAAGATATGCTGGGCTGAATTCTGCCTTCTTGTATACCCAAGTTTTAATCCTTATGTGACTGGAGTGGTACCAGGGCAAATGTTGTCAAAATTTGGAACATTATTAGGTTTTAGAAAGTACCGTCTAGACCGATACCCGCGTTACACAAATGGCAGCTTGTGTTGAGAGTTTGTAACAGGCTTAGCAGATGAGTGTTTCCGGGGTATCCAAGGAAGCCACAAGGTGCTCAGCACCACCCAGAATGATGTGTTGTCTTATAATGAAGGCTGTTGGCAAAGATTCATTTTAAGAATAGACTTGCATTTAAATCATGTTTTGGTGTCTTGCTAAACCGGGCTTACATGTTTCCCAGGAGTTTAGCATAGCCGTTGGTAATGAATCTGTGTACCCATGAAAATAAAGGCACAATGCTTCATGGAGACTGCACTGGTCTTACTGCCTCGGAAGGGAGCAAGAGGGTCTGGTTGGGTGGAAAATTTTCTCACTGAACCGAGGATCGTGACATCAACTTCAAGAAGTCCCATCTTAAAAAATCACCTTTTGCAAGTTATCTGGAAGGTCATGTATAATTTAGACTTTGTGGTCAGTCAGTCAGCTTAATTTAGGGACTGCAAAAAACCTTTGGATTTCATTGAAGAGTCTGCTATGCTCAATAGCAAATTTTCTAGTGGAAATGAGATCTGCTCCTGTGCAACTTACTGAAGCCAATGTTCTACTTTCTCTTCAGTGTAATGACTTCAGTGACAGTTTTGCCAGAAGAAGGCCTCCTGGATTGGGGCAAAGATTTGAAAAGTAGTCTGAACTGCAAATTATGAAAGCAGATCTTCTAATGAGTGCATGTTGTTTATAGCGTACTGGGAAAAATTCTAATACTGTGAACATCCAATATGTAGAGTGCTTTTATGAATTCCATGGAGACATTATATGAATAACTTTTGCATTGACATGGGTATAAATATGGGTTTCAGATGACACTATGTGCCAAATTTCCAAAAAAAGCTTCTAAATCTTCATGTATAATTTTGAGTGTACAATCATTCTCAAATGAAAAAGACAGAATTTGTATATACATTGGCAATCTATGCATGTAAATTGGCAGTTCGCATGCATAAATCCTGGATGAAGTTTTTCTTTCAATTAGACCCTTGTTAAATCCATAGTTACTCCATTAACCTCAGTGCAATTACTTTGGATTTAAAATGTAGTTAAATGAGAACTCTGTTTGGCTACAAGTTCCTTTCCCTTTGAAAATGCGATCCAATTAGAACAGGCAGAGAAGTTTTAACAGGAATGTGACACCCGTTTTCCTAATCTGTAAGATTATATTAGATATTTCTTCCTTTTGTTTTCGAATAGATTCATCCTGCATGGAAAAGCTACTTTCTAAAGACTGGAAGGAGAAGATGGAAAAATTAAACACAAGTGATCTCCTTGGAGAAATTAAAGGTAACTCACTCAAATTTGAAACATTAAAGTATATTTTAAACACTGGTTCAAAGATTTGTTTAAAGTTCAGAAAAATAATAGAAATAACAATCAAAATTTGAGCATGTTTTCCTCTTTCCAGCCAACTCACCCAATCTTCTAATGTTTATCTTTAAAATGACAGAGGTCTTTGACAAATAAATAAATTAGAGCATGTAATAATCAGTTACAGGCAGTATCACGAATGTTATGACAAACACCAAGTTAGTTACATTAGTTCATTGACATCAGCTGTATATCTCAGTGTCCAAAGGAAGAGGAAGAAACATCTAGAAAACATGGACTAATTAGTAAGTACTTGGTACTACTTCTTCCCAATTGCATAAATTATATGTAGAAACTGCTTTCCGATTAAAAAAAAAAAAGTCACAGTTTGATTACTGCTTTAAATCTTTGACTGAAAATTGGAAATATACCACAATGCATTTGCTTATATTCTCACTGTTTCTGGGGAGAAAGAGAAACTCTGGATGCAATTCGGGAGCTCCTGAAATCTGTTGGAGTTTTATTGCTTGTATAGACAGGACGTTCCAGTAAACCCAAGATTCGTTGGACCAGACGTCTAGTAAGACGAGAATTCCCCTGACGATTAAAGACCTTGTAGGGAACTTGAAGTTTGTTTTCCCCACCCATCAATTCTTCCATAGATTCTCCTATTGAAAAGAATTTCAGTGTTATTGATTAAGCAACAAATTGAAAAGATGTGTTTGTGTGCTGTGAGCTGGGCTCATAAGGCATTTTTAAAGAGTATACAGGGTACCTAGGATTTATTTCTCTTTATTGGTATAATTTTCTTAAATAGCAACTACAAATATATGGAAACAAAGGTCCGTGCGTATCACATTAATAAATCTTTACTAATAATAAGGAAAAGAGAAAAATTTTTTGATGAAAGTTGATGCTTAGGGTTTTACATTTCCACCAGGGAAACTTAAGAGAGTTGCATTCGTTTATTACATAAACAGATGAAAGACTGGCCCTTCTTTAGTAAGTAAAAGTTATAATTGATTCCTTCAGCTGATGCAAGACCAAAATCTAATTGCGTTGAGGTATTTCCTTCTGTTTGATTTCTCTTGTAGAAGTATGACATATATATTAGGCAGGTAAGAAATCTGATAGTAGTGTCAGTGGCAGAAATACAATATGCAGTTTTACATGTTAATAAACAAAAGCTAACAAAAGACTATATTAAACAAAAATAACAAAATTATGTCTTGAAATGATACCCTATATAAAGCTGTATTGTCTCCCAGTGGTGAGGAAAACATTGAATGCTTGTTTGTCCATTAATTGCACAATATAGCTACTTAGTCTCTAAATAGAAACTACTTGAATGCTATTAGTGAATCAAAATAAAAAGAGGTGAGATCTCTAACAATGCAGGATAACGTTCTTTATTCTTTTATATGGCATGAAAAGCTTTTTCATGAGCTTTCTTTTACAAAAAAAAAAAAACTATTCATTTTTCTGGAGATATGTCATGCCTCCTGTTTTCACTGGATATATATTCACTGCAGAGTGAATTAGTAGGATTCTTGCTCCTAATCCTTTTCTCATCTACCTACAAAGCATTCTCACCTAGACTTGGAAGGTTTTTCAACTCATTCACCTAACTTGTCTGGGGGTAAAATCTATTAGCTGCATAAAAAGAATAATCCAATTTGGCTCACCGGATTTGAATGTTGACAGTCGTTCAGTTAGTTTCCACCACTATCCTCATATACTCACCAGGAAAGCAAAGAAGGAAGCCTCAGCGTCAAGAACTATGGCTAGCCTCCCATTCCTCTGCTGGTAAGAGTACGAGAGGACTTGCACTGCAGAGGAAATAACAGTGGGATAGTTTTGGTGCATGGTTGTTAACATGTCGCAGAGGCTAATGCCAGTGCTTATAGCGTACACTGATTATATGGTGTGCTGTGGTCATATCCGCAGATGATGGGACAAAATGTCCTATTTTCTGCAGCTCTTAATGTCCTTGTTTTTTTCGTTGCCTCTTAGATTGGCTTATTTGTAACTGACTGCTCATAACAGTATGGAGGAACCATAATATAAATGAGAATCACAGAATCACAGAATGGTTGAGGTTGGAAGGGACCTCTGGAGATCATCTAGTCCAACCTCCCTGCTCAAGCAGGGTCTTCTAGAGCATATTGCCCAGGATCACATCCAGGCGGGTTTTGAATATCTCCAGCGAAGGAGACTCCACCACCTCTCTGGGCAACCTGTTCCAATGCTCTGTCACCCTCACAGCAAAGAAGTTTTTTCTCAGGTTTAGGTGGAACTTCCTGTGGTTCAGTTTCTGCCCGTTGCCTCTCGTCCTGTCACTGGGCACCACTGGGAAGAGACTGTCCTCATCCTCTCGACACTCCCCCTTCAGATACTTGTACACATTGATCAGATCACCTCTCAGTCTTCTCTTCTCCAGGCTGAACAGGCCCAGCTCTTGCAGTCTTTCTTCATAGGAGAGGTGCTCCAGTCCCCTCATCATCTTTGTAGCCCTCCACTGGACTCTCTCCAGTAGCACCATGTCTCTCTTGAGAATCAAATACTAAAAGTCTTATTTCTGTCCCTAGATTAGATCACTGAGCATTTTTCGTCATATCCAGGTGTCCTAAAAACCTCAACCAGGTTGATGTTGTGAGCTTGACATGAACTGAAATGTAACCGTGTGCTCCTCGCTTTCCCTTTCTCTCTATATTAGGCAGGTAAGAAATCTGATAGTAGTGTCAGTGGCAGAAATACAATATGCAGTTTTACATGTTAATAAACAAAAGCTAACAAAAGACTATATTAAACAAAAATAACAAAATTATGTCTTGAAATGATACCCTATATAAAGCTGTATTGTCTCCCAGTGGTGAGGAAAACATTGAATGCTTGTTTGTCCATTAATTGCACAATATAGCTACTTAGTCTCTAAATAGAAACTACTTGAATGCTATTAGTGAATCAAAATAAAAAGAGGTGAGATCTCTAACAATGCAGGATAACGTTCTTTATTCTTTTATATGGCATGAAAAGCTTTTTCATGAGCTTTCTTTTACAAAAAAAAAAAAACTATTCATTTTTCTGGAGATATGTCATGCCTCCTGTTTTCACTGGATATATATTCACTGCAGAGTGAATTAGTAGGATTCTTGCTCCTAATCCTTTTCTCATCTACCTACAAAGCATTCTCACCTAGACTTGGAAGGTTTTTCAACTCATTCACCTAACTTGTCTGGGGGTAAAATCTATTAGCTGCATAAAAAGAATAATCCAATTTGGCTCACCGGATTTGAATGTTGACAGTCGTTCAGTTAGTTTCCACCACTATCCTCATATACTCACCAGGAAAGCAAAGAAGGAAGCCTCAGCGTCAAGAACTATGGCTAGCCTCCCATTCCTCTGCTGGTAAGAGTACGAGAGGACTTGCACTGCAGAGGAAATAACAGTGGGATAGTTTTGGTGCATGGTTGTTAACATGTCGCAGAGGCTAATGCCAGTGCTTATAGCGTACACTGATTATATGGTGTGCTGTGGTCATATCCGCAGATGATGGGACAAAATGTCCTATTTTCTGCAGCTCTTAATGTCCTTGTTTTTTTCGTTGCCTCTTAGATTGGCTTATTTGTAACTGACTGCTCATAACAGTATGGAGGAACCATAATATAAATGAGAATCACAGAATCACAGAATGGTTGAGGTTGGAAGGGACCTCTGGAGATCATCTAGTCCAACCTCCCTGCTCAAGCAGGGTCTTCTAGAGCATATTGCCCAGGATCACATCCAGGCGGGTTTTGAATATCTCCAGCGAAGGAGACTCCACCACCTCTCTGGGCAACCTGTTCCAATGCTCTGTCACCCTCACAGCAAAGAAGTTTTTTCTCAGGTTTAGGTGGAACTTCCTGTGGTTCAGTTTCTGCCCGTTGCCTCTCGTCCTGTCACTGGGCACCACTGGGAAGAGACTGTCCTCATCCTCTCGACACTCCCCCTTCAGATACTTGTACACATTGATCAGATCACCTCTCAGTCTTCTCTTCTCCAGGCTGAACAGGCCCAGCTCTTGCAGTCTTTCTTCATAGGAGAGGTGCTCCAGTCCCCTCATCATCTTTGTAGCCCTCCACTGGACTCTCTCCAGTAGCACCATGTCTCTCTTGAGAATCAAATACTAAAAGTCTTATTTCTGTCCCTAGATTAGATCACTGAGCATTTTTCGTCATATCCAGGTGTCCTAAAAACCTCAACCAGGTTGATGTTGTGAGCTTGACATGAACTGA